TAATCTCTCATTTTTGTCAATAGTAATATTTTTTTAGTAATGGATAACCAAAAAAATACAAGGGAAAGAAACTTTGGAAATAATCATGAATTACCTATAGACTACTATTATCGATAGACTATTATGGCGAAAAAGGTAATTACATATTGGTTGGTGTGTAAGGTTTTTAGGGTTTCAAGGACTAAGGAATTAGGTTGAGGCCGCCAAGGCGAAGATGGTTGGAGCGGCACATGTTTCTGTCCCATCATCTATCTTCGCTACTGAATTTCACTCAATCCAAACATCAGGTGCTGTGGGGTAAATTGCTGCACCTTGTATCAACAATTTTTACCTTACAACCATTTTTTTGCTTTGACAATAATATTATGTTTATTTTCCATAGCGCTATTTTATACCATATGACTCATAGTATATACCTAAATGAAATAAGCGCTAAGAAAATCATGTAAATAAGACAGCGCAGAGTCCGTATCAGAATTCATTAATATACATTGTTTTATTAAGTAGCCAGTTATCGCAGAGCGGCTAGACGGTGGCGTCGAATAGTGACGTAAAATAACAAAATAATGTACGGAAATTTCAAAACATTACAATTTACATGGAATCTGTGTGTGACAAATGCTCGGAGCGTCGCGACAGAAGACGATCAATATTTATATCATCATGTTTTCGTCACACGCAAACATTTGATATGAAATGCTTTAAATAATAAAGCAATTATGAAACGGACATAGGCCGATGATCGTCGCGTCACCATGAGTTTCGGGTAATGAAATAATTGTCATTGTTAAAAGGAATCGGAATTAAATATTATTTCCTCAACGGAAACTAATTAAAGTTAGGCGTTTTGACTACGTTTTGTCGACAATGACGTGTTTTTTGAAATGGCAGTGGACTTTGGCAATTTTGTATGACTAAACCTTTATTCTGAAAATACTTATTTGAAACGGAAAGCTTACCTATTACGTTTCATTCATAAAGCGACTTAAGTATATTTTGAAAACTTATTTCTCCTTCGTTAGACTAACTACCTATTTTCTCTAAAAAGTTGGCAGCGGTAATAAATTACATTTTCGATTTTTTTACTGCTTCTTCAGTGCGGTAGATATGCTAAGACGTGGTATCAGAAGCATAAGAAACAATGTATGATGGTGATATTGCTATGGTAGAGATGTTCTACGCCGCAGTGGTAGAAGTACATAACAAATTCGCGATTGGGTAAGTTATTAAGTTTTCGCAATGGCCAGTCGAAAGATGGGTATTCGAATATTTTTAATCGCGGTTTACTCCGTGCTTCGTAAGGCCGTGGAACTAGATCTCATCAAATAACAGTAGGTTACGGAAGAAAGCACGTTAGCTGTTGGATCTGCAGTCGTTATCTGCTCTGTACTCGCTTTGTTGGGTCATTGTCCAAACTTCTTATTTTTTTTATTTGTGCTCTAGTGGATATCTAGAGCACAAATAAGAAGAATAAGAAGTATATTATTAGGCTGATGATGAGAATCCAGTCTGGAACCGTGTGGTTGGTTACGAAATGCATTCTATGTGGTTCTTTTCAGTAGATAGTTCTATTGCCCCGCACCGGGGGCATTTCTAGAGTGGTGCTTATGACGATTGCTAAGGCAGTAGTTAAATTATTCACATCTCAAATATTCACAAACTATATAAGTAGCTATATGAGTTTAATATTGCTCAGCGTTTCGAATAACCCATGATCTTTTAAAGCCACCTCACAATAATTAGACACACTTTTCAAAAGTTATTAGCAAGACTTCGTTTGAATTGCAAATCTCTATATTCAGCTGAAGCATTCAATATATCTGTTTTAAGAAGTCTAAAGAAAGTATCTCAATTTTGACACTAATCGGGTGTTAGCTGTAAGTTTTTTTTTTATGTTTAAATAGGCAAACGAGCTGGCCATCCGCCTAATGGTAAGTGGTCACTGCAGTACCACTTGGGTATTCACGCGTTGCCAGCTTTGTAGGAAAAAGGTTTACCTGCCTTTCGGAGATGGTCATATCATAGCTAAGAAGGAAACCTCTGAAACAAGTTTGTTCCAGATGTTGCTGGAACGCAACAAAAAGGAACGCGTGTATCGCATGGTGCTAGAACGCCAAGCGTACAGATGATGGGGGTGAAACATTTCTCTGCGGGGATGTGATACTATTAAGTTTAATTATATGTGCTATAAGAAAGATAGAGAACAGTACCGTGATGACGGTACAGTTTAACCATTGCACTGCATTATCCACGATCGTGAAATTTAAGCAGCTTTCGCAATTCCGGGTCTTTGGATAAGCTAACAAAAATTTGCTATCTCGAGGTCCTCCGTGCTTCAAAAGGCTTAGCTGTGATATTTACAAATGTTAGCACTTACCCACCTACCAATCCGCCCTTGGTCAAGGTGGTTGATCACCACCCACTCCACCTATTCCATCGACAGGGAAGGCCTGTACTCCAGCAGACATTAATATGCTGATGAAGAACAAAGGGTTTAAGAAAAAAAATAAATGAAATTAGCCTAAAGCCTAGCATTAGCAGGTTCACCCGTGCTGAAAATTTCATTATTATTCTGTTTATTTAAATCTGCTTACGGTAATAGGCACGTGTAAAAAGGTTGGCAAATCAAAACATAAAAAAAAACGGAAACAAAAATGTTTTCCTTTAATTTGAATCTTATTTTCTTTTCATCTGACCAAAATATACTGGTCACTACACTTACAGGTCAAAGAAAAAAATATGATGCGTGTATTTATTTAGGATGGAAATGTACATATAAAACGCATCGTAATACTTACCCCAATGCGAATAGTGCGGTCTCGTATTTGCATTACCTTCATCACAAATATAAAAACGATTTCTCAGCTTTGGCCCAACTCTTGATGGAAAACACGGCAAAGCAGTGGCGACAGTTAGATTTTTATAACAAGGTGCCATCTAGAATTTAAAGAATTATCGTATATTCCTAAAATATATTGATGGGTCTGAACAATGCTTTTTCATGTCTATCAATAAATATTATGATTTAAGAATAATGTAGAAAATAGTGGGTACTTTTTACCTAGTTTAGGAATGATTTCTGAGAAACCTTTACTATCTCCTTTCCCCGGACTCAAACTATCAAATTTCATCTAAATCGGTTCAGCGATTTAAGCATGAACAGGTAACAGACAGACACACTTTTACATTTATAATATGAATTTGGATAAGAAATTAGGAGAATATTATGGTTTATATTCTATGATATTATTAGTGTTTCTTGACAAAACCACAACGACATTTTTTTCTGAAGCCGCATGCTGTTTTATTTTCTCAAAAACTCAAATTTATGCAAACGATTCAAAAAGTGAGGGAATACCCAAACGTAGCCCTCTTTGCATCGTATGTAAACTGGCATCACAATTTCATAGAATAAAAATCTAATTCAGAAATTTTTTTGAATAATTAAATGATTTCCAGCTTGCTTTCTATATCTTGATAAAAACCTAAATTGTATCGTAAAATTTGGAGTTATTTCATTCAAAGCCCATTTTCTGGCGCAGTCTGATAAAGAGACTGGGTGTTATTTATAGTACAGTATGAATCAGCTTATTGTCAATTGTTTTTTTTTACTTTTTAGTACTTTATATTGATATGGATTAAAACTTATTTTAAATAGATTACATGGAATATAAGTAGCTAAACTTATTAATCGGATATTATTAGAAGTTTACAAACGGTTTTGTTATTTAAAAAAATAATTCATTCTTGAAAGACATCTCTTTATTTTATTTTTATATCGGATACTTTGCACGAAAATAATACGATAAAATAAAAAGACGTACACTTATTGTTATGTGAAAAGGTTACAGTGCCTGATAAGGTAACACATGATTCAGATGGTATGTACGCTTAAATGAAATGATTCACATCTTAAAAGACGTTTTTCAGTTATCCTTAAAAGTCTGAAGTGAAATTATTTGTGAAAATTGCATCTTTAGAAACTTGCGTAAGTTGTCTGTTTCCTTCAAATGTTCAGCTTAGTAGCCTAACTCGTGAATTTTTCATGGTAAATTTATAAAACATCGTAAGAAATCGTTTGATAAAAGCTTTTAAAAGAGCTTTTATGTCAGCTTTTACCTTGTCTTTCTCAATCAGTCTATTTGTTTCTCATGTTTTCACGCGCACCAATTATTCAAAATTTAAAAAAATCACTTTCTGTTACATCAATCGCGCTTTATTTAAAAAAAATGAAAATTGTATTTCATTTTGTGTTTATGTCGTGTCGAAATGAATGTATGAATTCATGTTTAGACAATGGTAATTGGAAATAATATTGTATACTAACCATTACATAAAACGCTTAAATAATAGTTTTCCTTCCTTATAGATTAATTAATCTTATGGAATACTAATATTTACATTTTAAGATTATTTTATAGTATATTTTAGTGCCTAATCGCTAGAAGTTGAAACTCATTATTTTCATTTTTTTGTCATAATAATCGAAATATTTAAAAAAACATATAACTGACCTGTATAGTTTATACAATTTTGTATAATTTTAAAAACACCGTAATCAGCTAATGAGATGATAGAAAAGCAAACAAGTAATTTGCTTTTCTCTCATCTCATTAGCTGATTATCTATGTATACTTATTATGATTTGTTTCCACAGTGATTTCTCTCCGAAGTCGTACCGCAAAGTAAACATTTTTTTTCACAAGTATTGTCACTTCTCAGATGAGAGTTCAAGAAGTCATAATTTCCGATTATTCCTATGACACGGATACCCCGATAATGAAACTGGGGGCAGCACAGTGGTGATAATAATAAAAAAAAATATGCGTATTCCGATGAGCGTATGCGTGTGTGACGCGCACCGAAGATGACTTGTTGCAAATATATAAAAGCGGTGCGTTGATTTCGAAATCATCAGAACCATTTGGAATTCTCTAAGGAGTGTACATACGAGTTCGGTGTGGTGAATAGTTTCCGCATTGTGACTGCAAGCCGCGTGTGAACTGTGCAACTGAGAACTTTTTCAGTGAATATAAAAAAACTTTTGTTGAAAAAATATTTTTTTTTAAGTGCCCGCAGGATGTTCGCTAAGGAAGCTGTATTTGTAAGTAATACAGTTATCAAAAAAATAACTAAGCTATTTTAGCTACAATAAATAAAATGTCCTCATTTCCCCTAACCTAATAAATATAAATAATTTTATTTATGCAAGTTGCAATAAAAAAATCTTATCGCATCTGATGAAATATGTATGTAGAATCCCTTTGTTCTTCACAAGAAAACTGATATAAAAATCAGTTTTCTTAATAATTGCCCGCTCAACCGAAACTTAATCCCACGAAAAGCGTAACATAAAGATTTATTTGTTTATTGTTACAGTGTATCGCTGTGAGCGTAGTTGCAGTATGCGGTGCCCCCACTGAAGATGGCAAATGGAATCCCTACAAATACGGAGACAGTGGCAAGTAAGTACCTAAATGCCAGCGGCTGTTGAATATTCATTCAACACAGCCATTTTATGTCTGAAATTCAATAACTCTTTTGCCAAAATCCAAATGCTAACTGCATTCCGTAGTGATATTTATAACCTCGGAGAGTTATAAATTTTCATGACAAAACTATCAGATGTTTTCAATTTAATATACATTTTGCACAGCCCAATTTTGCGCACATGCTGATATGTAACCGTCATGATTTGTGTATTTCAAATAAATTTCGTACATCATTGTATATTATCACACCAAATAAAAGCATTGAATTGTTATCTTATGATATGATCAAATTGTTAAAAATATAGCAATTTAGCCATATTACATAACAATAAACGTTATGAGACATTGATGAATAGCTGTAGCTCTTTATTATGCACATAAGGAAGTGTAAAAAACTAAAACTAAACCATATTAACCGAACCAGGAATCGAATGCAGAACCTCAGAAATGAGGGTGCCAGATTTGGTCAAATCATTAGGTTAGCGTCAAGGTTTTTAGTTTACATATAACAGAATACTTAATTAAATTATGTTTAAAAATCTCATCAAGGGGTCACAATGTGAAGTTGAACAAGGTGTTGAAGCTGTCCATTGAAACAAAATAATTCAAATTAATTATTCATAAATTGGACAAGAATAACTAATGTGCCTATTAACAAGTAACTAATCTTTAATGCTTTATCCCCGAGAAGAACACAATGTTATAAATCTACATCACAAACCATATTTGTACCGAAAATATAATAAAAATGTAAATAGTATGAATATAGGTTATAATATTTATTCATAATAATGTTCACAGGTACATTCCAACAGACGAAGGAAAGTACATCCATATACCAAACCCATACATCCACATTGACAACCCTTACGATGGAGGTTACGGACCGTACTCACACGATTATGAACCTTATGTCGGTGAAGCTACAGTCGATCAGTACCGACATGTGCTGACGCCTCCCGATGAGCTTCTGCCGTTCTACAAAGAAGGCTACTACAAGAACAACGGCATCAAGATCATCAGGCAAAAGCACAACTATGACGAAGACAAATACGACTTCGAGTAAGTTTTTGAAAAAACCGTATTTATTTCAGAATTAAAAAAAACTGGTTCAAATTAAGTATGAAGGTCATCTAAATTTAGCTACGAAATTTCTTCTCATCAACATTCTGTAACAAAGTTCATGAGGTTTCAATGTTAGTTATTATTCTTTTTTAAACGACATTTAAAACTCGAATTTATAGAAACTTCGTGCCCGCGTTACTTAAAAATTGCACATTTGTTGAAAAGTACTGATTTCATTAACAATAATATACAAATTATTACGAAAAAATGTTACAATCTTAGAACGAACCTTGAATATCCATTGAACGGTATTGCGATGCCTTTATTACTGAATGGACACAAATTGTTGATTCATTTAAAAAATAATAACCATTATAATCTCAAATCATATTTTACCAATTTGTGTGAATATTCATACAGGTCAATTCATTAAATATATGACTCAAAAGTAAAAGTTATCAAATACTGTAAGTTACACAAAACTTCTCACGAAGAGTTTAAACTTTTTAATCCAAACTAATTATCAAAGTGTGAAATACTGATGAGAAAGTGCTATGTTAACAATATCAAATGCCATTATTTGTACATCGTATAGAACAAAGATACTTGCACGCTTTTCTATTGTGCTTAAGTACACAGAAAATGTTTACAAAAGTTATTTTAGTAAAAGCATAGGTGACCCCGGAAGGATTATCTCGCGAGAGAGGTGTGAAAAATCACGATGTGTTGACTTGTCTTCCATTGGCATATCATCATTGACATTTTATTTGTACATAACAAAGCTCATGTGGTAGGGACCAAAGATACTGGAAAGATTATTACGATTAGGTTTAACATTTCATAGATGAAAATACTTTTTTATTAGATAGATATTTTTTTATAAATAAACTTTTAGCTAATTCAATATTAAAAAATAATACTTTCATTTCTTATACTAAAGCAAGTCGTGCTCCAAAAAATCACGACTTTGGCAAATAGAAAATTGCGTTTTTTTATGAAAATTACTTATTTAAGGGAAATGGTTCATTGATTTGTTATCAGAGCGTTTCGATAGCATCAGGATAAAAACGAAACATCCAATTAGATTCATACAAAATAACTCACAAATTTAAATTCATAGTCACAACAAAATACGACCTCAATTAATCACAACGCATTATCCATCAATTCAAAAGCATTAAAAACGTTGAATTCATCCCCACTCCGTTTTAAACAAAGAGACAGGCGGAATTTGATTTAGCGGTGTTTAATAGAATTAAACTTGTTGATGGCGTTGTTATTATAAAGACGCGTTAGATGGGAAATCATTAACTCTAATACGTTTACAAAACTGACCTTTGTCTTCAAATTCCTGTGACATCTTATATAAATATTAACAAATGTATATGTTAACAAATAAAGAAACAAAATAAACCATCAAATTAAAAAAGTAACAATAATTTCCTAATTCTAAAATCACATCCTTAATTTGTTTAAGTAAATATTTGATTTACAATTATAAAATCACAGAACTTCTAACAATCATATACAATAGCTAATGTATACAGTTAAGACCAATTAAGAAATCAAGAGTCTTTAGAAAATGACAAACCTGTTATAATCCTTGAGTATACATTATACAACAATAATACAGATCATTCGCCATCACAAAAATGTGAGCCTTGACCGATACATCACGCAGGTTAAAGTTCGTATCTATTTATTTTCGATAGCTATTTAAGATTCTTCGTAACATAATAAAGGGATTGACGCCATGACTAAGTGTAAATGTATATATATATATATATATATGAAAACAAAAAATATGAACCTATTACATGTAAGCTTACATTTTTATCCAATTGCTTCCGCATTGTACCAAAATCTGGTGAAGGTAGTTACGTGTTGTTTTCAGAAATCCAAAAACTACACATATTGCAATCTTTTCAAATTATAAATTTATTCATATCCTATTTATAGGTCAGTGACATTAAAAACAAATATTACAGTAAATATAGTTTATACACGTTTTACCACTGATCCCTTAGTGGTTCTCAAAACTTAATAGGTACTAAATTTGACAGCAATATCTTTATTTTATTAAGTATGTTATGGATGTCTTCCGCATTGCTCCGTCGCTGAGAGACATCGTGACTTCGAATCGTCTTAACAACTAACTGCATCCTTAATGTTTCGCTCTGTTACCTTTCGATGCAGTACGGTGCTTAACTGCATCTCTAGTTATTGAAAAATAGGATCCGTGCACAGCTTGGGGATTCTCTATATAAGGATATTTATGTTTAAAAATTAGGCCCATTGTTGTAACAGTAATATTATATATTACATGCGATTTAGCACACTCTCTTTTTGTAATTAAAGTATGAATAATAATTTATATGTAATGGATATTTAATATCAATTATTCAACTCCAAATCGAGCAAAGCTTATAGAGACCTTAGTTTACTTATCGCAATGTACCACAATTTCGCAATCAAATTGAACTTTATGTCAACTATTTTAAGGTTATAATATATAAGTGATTGATAATAGTGATATCGAAGTTTGACAGCAAGTAATCTTGTCTGTAAAGTTGCCTACTAAACCGATCAAATAAACATAAATGCATAATATTTTAGATTTTAATCGTCAAAATTTACTTGCTTTATAAGAAAGATCGATAAATACGATAGCATAACAGCTGCAATATGTTTTTTCTTTATTAAATCAATTGTTTATAAAACTACTATGTCCATTGTCCACAGTTTTGAAACCGAAAACAAAATTCGAGCTGAAGAGAAGGCTTTCATCAAGAATCCCAACACAATCGACGAAGGTATTGCGTCTAAAGGTTTTTACGAATACATCGGTCCCGACGGTTTCCTTTACCATGTGGACTACACTGCTGACGAAAACGGTTTTCGACCAAGCATTAAGAGGAAAGAAACTCCCTACTCCGGAAAATGGGTCCTAGAGAAAGTTTAGACAGTAACACACTCGATACTCATACCATTTCTACACTCATTCAAATCAGTATTCCAGCAGTAGATGTATGATTCTGACTATTCACAAACTCTATAATAACGTTGCTTATACAAATAGGACTACAAATCATTCCATGTCACAAAAACCTTAGTTAATTTTAATTTATATAATAGAATAAGGCTTAGTATTTAAATTAGATATTTATTTATGAAATGTGATAATAAATTTATATCTCCATTGAATTATGTTTGTATTATTTCATTGTCAAAAATATTATGGCAAAGTTGGTTATGCGAAGTCATTTATTAAATTATCATCACCAAAATGAATAATTATTTTGATACAGTAAATTGCAGTAGCCATTCTTTAGACAGATTACTGTATATTTATCATATGGCTCTTAAGTAGAAAGGTGCTTTCGTGATTAATCACCGAACGGGGAAATAACAAGTTATCGGCTACATTATAAAGAAATATCGTATTTGGTTGAATATACCCGTTTGTCCCACAAATAATATTTATTAAATAAAAGATACTTATTTGTTTGTAGTAAATGCAGAAAAACAATATTACATCTCATTTTAAAATTACTCACTAACTCCGCTAGCTCAGCGACCCGAAATGGATCTTAAACTCTGACACTAAGATGAAGCCACTACTCCCTTTCTTGTGCAGCTTCTTGTAAGTTGACTGGTCCCCATAGCTAGAACAGATCCTTGACTACTTGGTCTTTCCAGCGTTGCTTGGGGCGCACAACCGACTTTTGACCACAAGGCATCCCTATGTACCCGCGATTTACGGCCCAATCCTCCTCGTCCATGCGTTCTATGTGGCCCTAAGACCTTTTACATCGATTTTTTTGCGAATTCTCAAGCTGCTGTCTCCTCTTTATGATGGTCCTAGTATTTGCAGCCAAATCTTCCATTTCATTACCAGGAGCTTGTTCTCCTCTTTCAGAGCTAGCGTACATACCTCACAGCCAAACATTAAGATCGGACGGAAGACCGTCTCATAGATGCGAATCTTTTAGGTCTGCTTAGAAGTTTAGACACAGTACCGAGTGAAGAAAAGCACTGCATCGCAAGACGTTCTGTATCATCAATTTCTTTTTATCGCGTGTTAGTGACGGTGATCGTGCAAGCGATTTATATAAATATCGAGACATCCGCGTTATAGGTCGCAACTCCTAAGGAAAAGTCCTTTCGTGGTATTCGATGGTCCTTGTACATTTTCATATAAGATAGTCTTGTCGTAGATTATTTTGAGACCAGCTTTGGCTGCTTCTTCCACAAACATTCCTGCCGCTATCTGCACCTGCGCCCCTGTCTCACCCATCAGGGCCAGATCGTCTGCGTACTCAATCACTTTATGCTATCTATTCAACCGTATACCGCCGTTGGTCACCGAAACTTTACGGACCACATGCTCAAAAACTAAACTGAACAGCATCGATGTAACGCCATGTTTAAGGCCTGTCAGCGATGCGAATTCTTCGGTTAGCTCTGCATCCTATTTTAACCGTATCCTGCTCACACTCGAGGCTACCTTGATCATACGGAATAATTTAACGGCTATTTTGAACTCTTAAAGGATGTGTACAGTTTCTCCCCTCATGCTTCATCAAATCCTCCGTACGCCTTGGTAAAATCTGCAAAAAAATGTGTACCTTTTGCGCATATTCTCCCGTCTTCTCCATGATCAGTTTGAGCAGGATGATTTGGTCTACGATTTCTTCTCAATATTACATTAATATTTTAACCCCTATTATTTACCCCTTCAGCGTCCTTTCTCAGTCTCCCCAGAAAGATATATAAGAAGACCTTATATGCGGTTGGCAATAATGCTATTCCTCTGTAATTGGAGCACCCTTTTTTTAATATAATTATAATAATACTTAAAACTTTAAAATATTTAAAGTAATTTTTGGAAAGTAATAATAAAGATTTGTGCTGAGATAATTTAATATTCTCATTAATTTGAATCCTTACAATATTAACTTAACAATGAAAAGGGTAAAATGAATACATTGAAAAATAAAAGCTGAAAAGGAAAAATTGGTGTACTTACATCTATATTTTTTTTACAAAAACTGCATAATGTCAATCGGAATTTTTAAATATGTTTCAAGAACAAATCTTTGTAAGGATTCTTTGAATCATCAAATTCCTTAAGACAGACGTACTACTATTATGTTATATATTTAGTTCTAAGATACATTAAAATAATATTTTAATAATATATTACATCCGCATTATAATAAACTTTTAAAAGTCATAATAAAACCAGATACTGCCGACCTTATTCCTAATAATCAGATATAGATTCTTGATTAGGAAAAGAAATAAAGATACAAAATCGTCTTTTTTGGATAGTTAGGATATCGCCTCATATTTTTAGCCCACTTGATGATTCCAAATACACAAACAGTAAAAACTGCAAGATTCCCACACGAAGCATCCCGTATCATTGTAAACGAGCTATTGTTAAGGCTGAACAAACAAACCCTTTAAAAATCACGTTTTATTGTAGTAATATATTTTGTTAACTATTGTAATGAGCTGTTTTATTCTGAAGACTATTATATATTTTTTGTTATAGCTACAAAAGAAGAACACTTCGGAGAAAATATGGACTTCTATCTATTTATTGCATTCCTAAAGATAAAGCCCGCTGGCGGAACCCTAAAAAACATCATATATCTCATATTTCATGGTCAATGTTGCAACACACTGACCTCACTCTAAAATTTTACACAGCTAACTCATTAGGAATAAAAAATTAAATGCAAAGATCATTACATTGATAGATTAAGATAGTAACGTTTATCTAGGTCGTAGAAATCTATTAAACACTAAAATAGGATTCGTTAATGTTGGATTTTTATAATAAATTGCATGCACCCACGGCTAAATTCATTGTGAATGAATCATCGATGGAAATAAATGTTAAAGTTTGAGACGCTACATTTTGAGTGAAAATTCAATAGATAAATCAAACTCCATGATTATTAAAAAGAAATATAATTATCTCCTAGATATACCTTATGGATTATAGGACGTTTTAGGAGTCAGTAAAATTAAATTATAAATATTTTGCATACACGTGTGTGTCTATAATAGATTTAAAATTTTATTTTTATTGAATTTGTTCTTAAGTTACATATTTACGTATAACTGCACAATATTTTAAAAAGTTTTTGTTAATTACTTACTATTTTTGCGTATATTGATACCGACTTTAGTAAAGAATCGCATTGAAAAATAATTAGAATATTATTGGCATGGAAATTCATGTAGTGTCAGATTGTGATAAAATAAAAGTCTTCAAATCAACAGTCAATCAGATACAAACAAAAGTTAAAAGTACAATACTAAATTTAACTTTCCTTCACCTTTTAACCTGCGCCTGGTCTTCAGCCTTCTTTCTCTACTCTTATTACATAATTATTTAACATAATGATACCTACAGCTTGATTTAAAAGAATACTTCCGGATATACCTTTTGCATAACAATAACAGGACTGGGTAACTTGGTTGAAATATTTATGAACGCGATTAAGTGTGCAAGCATTCATGTTTTAAATCAACAATTTGAACACATCGTAAATTAAATACGTTGAAACGCTTACGATCATCTTTAAAAAGCAATAAAGAAAGCTTAATAAACTTTTCCAACTGCACCGCAATTTGCACATGCGCCTGCGTATGTGTATTTTAAATTGGCCTCATAAGTTATAACCGTTCATTTGGTAATAAACTTGGGGATGTAAGAGCAATATTTGATCTGATAACACGTTGAATAAATATCGAGGCGCCTCCGATTTCAATAAAATCTGACGCTGCAGAGATGTCTGTGTCATGGAAAGGTTCTGTAGGTGAGTGAAACAGTAAAATTGAAAAATTGCAAAAGAGGACCATTGTAGTCTTTTCCCGCAATCTTGTTTAGTGCTGACATAAAATCCGATAATTTTATCTGTGGAATGATAAGTATTACCTACGTCTTTCAATAAACCTTATTTTTTATGGGTTAAAAAAGTATTTTATATAGAAAACTTGGGTGCAAATTTCATCCAAATCAAATCGGTTCAGTAAGCTAATTGAGTAATAATCATATAAACTTACACATTTATATTAGTGGAAATGGTACTCGTACTATTATAATGGTATAAATTAATAAACTCATATTGATTTTAGGGATTCGAATTCATTATTAACTCACATTGTTATTGTTACTTGTTGTTAAATTTCAAGATAATTTTCGAAGCTTTAATTAAGCATTGATTCTGATGAAATATGATTACCATGATTGTATTTACCTACAAATATGGTCTCGAAAAAACATAGTTATTTTAAGTGAATCATATTCTTGCACAACGGTTTTACAAACATCCAACTGTGATTCTTAAAAACGGCCGTTACATAAAGCATCCGATTTCGTCCCAAGATCCTGCCACAGAACTCCAAATAAGCAGTGCGTCGCCAAAAATAAACGACGCCTGGATCGTAAAGTCATGCGTGTTAGGGTGCTGGCGAGAAATTTGGCAAAATTGTTTTGGCTCTGGCATGGAGGCTTTTATGGGCAGGGTATTGACCGAAAGCCGTGCCAAGAGTCCGGCGCCGTTCTGGCCGACATAAGACTTGCTGCAGTGCGACTTATCTGCCCTGCTTCCTTCGTAAGTGAGCAAAGAATAAGACTGGGTCATATTCACGAAAGTGTTTTTGCGGCGTGGTGCGTGATAAATGAACATGGCAGCTTTAAGATGACAGCTCGATGAACTCAATCAACTTCTGGCGTGTATAACAGAACTTTGCTCATAGACAATGTTTGTTAACCACATATTTAAATATTGGTTAGTTGCTAATTTAGAAGACATCAAAATATTTTTATTGCTGTTTTTTATCTATTTTCAATTATTTAGTATCACATTAATCAAGCGCGTTAAGCCAATCATCCATTTTATCTTCCTGAGAGATTTAGTTTTAGCATTTATAAATGATATCATTAGTCGCGCTGATGGAAATCGCATGCAACAGATACACATCTGTATTAACGGTGC